CATTTGTATCAAAAAAGTAAAAGCAGAATGTGCCAAAGTAGTTTATATGTGTCAGTCTATGAAACATTTGCTGGTATGTGGCCGTCCTTGAAATATCTGCTTTAGTTCTTTCATAAAAAATTATTTACATTAGAAAATAATTTCTTTGCACGTGGGGTGCATTATGAAGGTGTTCAATATCGTGGAATATTGCACAATTTTGACAATGTAAAGTTAACAGTGAAAAAGATGAGCATATTATATGTGTGTGTGTGTGTGTGTGTGTGTGTGTGATAATATGACAAATATATATAACAGTATGTTGTTCGCTAACTAACAATGGATACAATCTGTGAAAATATCATATATCATTATGACTATATTTTAATTTATTTTTAATGTTAAAACAAATTACTTTGCTATACAAAATGTATTTTTTTCCTCTCATACAAAGTAAAAACATTTACCTGGAGAGGTGATTAGACAGAAATACAAATCACCGTACTGCCTACTGGAGTGGTGACAATTTACATGGTCGTTTTCCCGAACAGCTGTTGGAAAATTGGAAGGACAATCATCGGTGTCTATAAAGTTTAATTTAACCTTGTATTGGGTTTTTTGCTGAATTATCAAGCTGATGAAAATAATTCTACACCATTTACAAAACTGGTATTGATACTTGGCACAGCGTGTAAACTGCTCAACTGGCACTGCGTGTAATATTTTCAATGGATGCTAGGCGTTGATAGGAGAGGCTTTACCTATGCAATAACCCGGATGTTGTATCTAAGACTGTTGTACATCACGTCAGATCCATGAATTAACAGCAATCAACCATCATATGGGATATGAGTTGTTTTCACAAACATTACGATTGTGTAAAAAAAATACCCAAAATGGAATGTGCGCGCACCTTGCGCCACCATTTTGAGTCCCTAACAAACCTTTGTCAACATTAGTCATCACGTATATTCACGATAAAAATCTGATATCGTCGGATATTCAATTCATAGTTATACATAGATTATATTTTAAATTAGAGCCTCAATAGCACAAAAGTCAAATAATAAAAATTAAAAAAAATGGCCTGAACAAAGCAGACAGCCAGTAAGAGCATTGAGACTACTACAAAACTCAAATGATAAATTAGAAAAAAAAAAGACTTGAAGTACAACAAAAACAATCTTAAAAAACAAGTGATTACTACTCACAGTGGATTATTGCACATGAAAAATGAACATAATAAAGAAATTAGGAATAGAGAATTTCTTCAATGTGAAGAGAATTTATAGAGAAGAGGGCTCCTTTCTCGAATGCTATTATAAAGAAAGGACACAGTTTTTGTATATGTCAGACATCCCTAGAGAAAACCTACCATCAACAACTGATGTAATGGTAGCCATGAAGGTACAATATCCAGAATCCATAGAGAGGACATTTGCAATAAACAGAGCTGGGAATAGAGGATACATAATAAGACCAAGAGGGAAAACACCAATACTACCAATTGGTGAAATGAAAATCAAAAACCTTCGGGTCACAGTAAAGGAACCCAACCCAATTAAGAAAAATTCAAAAAGCAAACAGGAGACTTATATTTAAACGACATACCACTGGAAATACCAAAAGAAAGAGTCAAAGAACGATATGAGGAAAAATTTCAAATCTCAGTAATTAATGCAGGATTAGACAAAATTCCAGGCACATCAATATACAATGGAAACATGGTGTATGATGTAGAAAAGTCAAATTGAAAGAAGTGAAGAAAGCTTTTTACTTACTTGGATTTCTAGTTAAATCATGGTATAAAGGCTGCATATTTCATAGAGAGTGTAGAAAATGTCAAGAAAACGTACAATAACAACAACAACTGTCCAAGTAACAAAAACAAAGACAGATCAATACACTGACTCAAGATCAGTTGCAACATTCCCAAAAACAAAAAGAACAATAGCAACAACAACAACAAAATTAATAGCAAGTACAAGAAGTGAAACAACAAAGTCAAGAAAAGATCTTGCAACACCTACAGAATCCAAAACCAAAGCAAACTACAGTACAACAACAACAAAAGATGCCTAACCAAATTAAACAGATACAGAATTCTTCATCCCAACTATCTAGAACCAAAATGACTACAACAGAATCAACAACTGAGACAACAACAGACGATGCTGATATGGAAACTGAATGGAGAGTTAAAGAAAAATGAGAGAACAAAAAAAAGAAGAAAGAAGAAACGAGAAACAAAACAGAAGGAAGAGACTTACTCCATAATGATGAAACAATAAATGAAACATGGTGTTATGAAAAAAAAAATGTACAAGTAGAACAAAGCAGAGTAGATCTTTACCCAAGTGAAGAATCAGGCCAATATTGCTGTGGAAAGAACAAGAAAGAACAAAACAGAATAGATCTTTACCCAAGTGACATATCCAAACCAGACATATGGAAAAATAGATTTACTTCAAGAGGGAAAAAATTTGCCTTAATTTTTAAACAATAAAGAAAGAAAAAATTTAAACTTATAGCACAATCATTACATAAGGCAGGAGGGCCTCCCTAAATGGTCTGAAATCAACCAGGGTGATCACCCTCTGAAAAAAAGAAAGTCAAAAATAAAGCTGGAAGTTCCCAGGCTGTTATTACAATATTGTAATTTGATTTTTAAAAATTATCTTATCATGTCCCCAAGATTGTCAGAGAACAATCCTCAGGATATAATATCAGTTGCAGATTTAAAAACTTAAAAGCATGTTTTTTATGCTAGAACTTTTATGTCCATATATTTTTCATGAAAGCAAGTACTTGTGCCAGACAAATGACAAATCAGTTTAAATTAGTATGGTTAATGTTGTATAGTCAGTTGAGATGATAGATGGAGGATGATATTGAATGAAAGAGAGAACTATTCAAAGATTTTTCATCCTCAATGTGCATGACTTGGCATCAGATGTTGGCACTGAATATTTTTAAATTCATATTGAACTATGAACTATGACTATATTAATGATAAACTTTTTAACTTCAACAATAAGCCAATGCTATATTTCTCATGTAAATTGAAAATCATTACATGGTGCACTTGTTTCCGTATTGATTTGTTTATATGTGTATTGATGGATCTGTTTGTATATGAAATAACAAAGATGTTTGAAATGTCATAGTTTAATTGAATAAAAAATGGGTGAAGTCATAAATTTGGTTTTGTGTGGTTGACATACATTACAGAACATGGTGTATTATGATATCCCTATGCCTTCATAATGATGTGGGAAGAACAATGCTGTTAGGTGTTGGTTTGTGTGGCTAAGGAATCAATATTGCTAAAATGAAAGTGAACTTGTTTTATGACGTCAAGCGAAAACAATAGATTGGTCTTCATATATCACCAGATATCTGACAAGCTTCTAAGTACTTGACACATAACAAAATACCTGATTTCTGATTTATACAACTTGTCTGAAACAACTTACTGTGCTGGTATGTAGACTAGACATTTTACATTTCAAGGCTTGTCTACATTCATCCAGTCTATAATCATCAGACATGGTATTTGTTTAGTTTATCAATTATTCATCTTGCATATAATCCATTCGTATATTAAATTACTCATTCTTTTTCTTCCACAATTAACACCTCTTATTTCTGTCATGACTGTTGGCTTGACTGAACTTACAAAGATTTAGGAAGGGGGATGTCCAAGTCTATAGCAAGCACATAGGTGGCTGACGAGCTGGTCCATCTGTTTTGTTCAAAAGTGGCAGTGGCCCGGTGATCTGTACATCACTAGCTTTCATGGTCTGCAGCTTGTGATGCCCATTGCTGGTGGTCGATGCTACAGATGGTAAAGGTCTTTTTCAAGGAGTCGTTATATCTCTTTTGATGTGGCCAGTGGACAGCTCACCATACAATGCGATCTTTGGCAGGCGATCATTCTCCATCTGGAGACGTGCCATGCCCAGCATACCTGTATCTTCGAAAGCATAGCCTCTGCATTGGTGATCCCTGCTTGTTTGAAGACTTTAGTGTTGGTGACAAAGTCATTCCAGTGAATGTTGAGGATGGTGCGGGGGCAGCGCTGATGGAAGCTTTCAAGGACGCAGAGGAGGCAGTTATAGGTGATCCATAATTCGGCACCACATAGGAGAGTGGTCAGTATGGCAGATCTGTAGATGCTGATCTTTGTCTTTCTTGAGACTGGCGTTGTACCTCACTAATTTATAGAGTCTGCAAAAGGCACTGTTTGTCGATCTTGGCATTAGAGGAGATCACACAGCCCAGGTAGGTGAACTGGTTGACTGCTTTCAGATCTGTCTGGTCAATGAAGATGCTTGGTGGCCAGGACTCTTCCTTAGGTGCAGGCTATTGAAGTACTTAAATATTTATATGCTACCTCCAGACCAAGGAGTTGGCATGCTTCTGATTTCTATAACTTATGTTGCATTTGAAATTTCAGCCAATGATAGAGTACAAGTCACATAGCTGCATACATGTGTCATTTTGGAGAATTGATTCTCCATACCTTTAAATGGCATTTATTCAATTTATTTCATGCCTTGTTCATCAAAATTACATTGAAAATTATTTTATACAAGTTTCTCAAAAAATGCTTAAAGGCAAATTCAATGATAACATACTTAGACAGTTTTAGGCACAGTCAAACAATCAGGATGATCTCACATAATGATCATGTTGTTAGTCTCTGCATTGTAGATCTGTGATGGCTATTATCTGTCTACATGTGTCATTCACTATATCTGTACGCTCTTGTGAGGATTTTAGGCATCTTGCTTTTCTTCCTCTTAATGGATTGGCTAATTATTTGAGTTCCTTGACTTGGCAGTAGATGGTAATAAGGATATCATTGGTCTGGGTCTGCAAGATGTCATTTATTTTCATACCTCTACATACAGCAGTCATCTATTTTATATGTCTGTGCTTTTAAGTTGTTAATTTGCTTAAGATATCTGTAATGAATCTATATAGCTATATATTTTTATATGCAAACATGCATGCATGACTGCTCTGGTGGCCTAGGTGGTTAGAGCCTCCGTCTTAGATGCAAGAGGTTGTGGGTTCAAATCCCAGCTGAGTCATACCAAAGAATTATTAAAAAATGGTAATAACAGCTGTCTCACATGGTACTCAGCATTATGAGGTGTTAGGACTGATTAGCCTGGTGCCAAGATAATGTGACTGTATGGGATGTCATGCTGTATGTCTGCGATATGATGCCGTAGTGGTAGAAACCACTATAAACTGCAACACTGCAAACATCTTAGTGATATGACTAACAAATTATTAAAGCTACATTAAAAATCCAAATCAGACACAGGCACACACCCAATCAGAACTAACTTACTGTTTTTGAACGTTATAGCAGGGAAAATTAAAGCAAACATTTTCTGTTTCAGCACTGTACCTGGTATGAAAATATTTTTCTAAAATTTTAATTCATGATGATTAAAAATTGGAATTCTGGGAAATAGTCTTGAGTCAGACTCAGAAGTCAAGGTCAACAGAACTGAAGCCTAAACAAGATGACATTAGCAGTATTAGTTTTTAAAATTGCTTCAACTCGTTAATATTTTTAAAGTTTATTCAGTTAAACTGTATTTCAATATCTTTCTAGGTTGGTATTTAGTGTGGACCTTATTTTTGAAGAATTTCAAATTTGTTAGAGAACTTTTGAATAGTAGTGATGAAGAAAACGAGAAACCAAAGAAAGACCGAGCGAAGACAAGAAGGGAATAAATGAATATTTTAGAAGCCGTAAGTTAAATGAAAAATTGTTTGCATTTATTTTTTTTAGTTATTATGTCACTTACATCTTAAAATAATATTGCTATGTAAAATATTTGTTGTTTTTTATATGTTTTGATGTATATTCATTATTTTATTGAATTTCATACATTAAATGCTATTAGTAACACTTTGTTTTGCAATTTATACTTGGTGTTTTGGGCCAACAAAAACCCCAACAATAATCCAATATGCTATTCTCATGAACCACTTAAAAAGTTTAATAAAATTAACCTATATATACTGATCCAGCAATTTTTCCACATGTTGACCCTATAAACAGGGGTCATGTTACCAGGCGTGGTGGTCAGAAAAGTTGCCTGAGAAATGTAAACTTAAAATTCTTCTATTACGAAAGCAAAAACTTCTTCCCCCTCTGATTTTTCAGATGTAAAATGGCTATAGATTATGACTTTTGAGATGCCTTTTTGCAGAAGCCAGTAAATTCTGACACTGTTGTACCCAAAGATGAAATGCATTTACGTGGTGTTGATACCAATCAGCTTACGGCGACAAAGAAATTCTTGCAAATTCACATGCAAGATTTAACAGCTAGCTGACCATTAACCTTTTCCAGACCAAGATATCATTGCACGATTTCATGAAGTTGGGCCTATTGTACAAAGATGATAAAAAATATACCGATTTCTGTTTCAAAATTTAAACATCAATTTGCAAATAGCATTTTCTAATTTCTTTTATTTTATAAATGGAGATTTTAATGGCCATATTTGCATATTTTCTTTATAAAATCAGTTTGAAACCAAAAATGAACTTCTAATGGTGGACATCGCTGCATATATGATAAAACACTTCATTAAACTGTATTTGTAAATAATTGGGCAAATAGATTCAGGAAAATATATAATATAATGAAAACAAAGCTTAAATATTATGTGATAGGATATTTAGTCTAAATATTTAATAATATAGGTCAAAAAAGTGTGACAGGCTCTGTTGTACTGCAGGGTCAAGATTGTTTTCTGACATACTGTAATTAATTTTTGTGAAAATATATATATATATATATATATATATATATATATATATATATATATATATATATATATATACAGTGTATATCTATAGTAGTATAACTATTTAAGTATATATATAGTAGTGAAGCAAATACTATTTAACCAATGCATATCTTTATTACCAGTAGGTAGATAAATAATACAACCATAAATATGCAGTCCTACTAATGAATTGTTGTAAGGAAGCACTAAAGTGAGTAGTTATTTTAAGAAAAGTCCTCTTTCTAAAATAGATTCACTCACATGGTGCTTTATGTGTTCTTGGACGTTTCGGTTGTGAGGAAAAAAAGGGTCCAGTTTAGTTATATATCGACTATAAATTCCAGAATGTGTCAGTGTTGTGATCTGGCCACATTAATTTCTTCATAGCTAACAGTATCAGAGATCATACTTATTTCTCCCAAAATATTGAAGTACCTGCTGGACACATACTGAAAAGCATGCTTTAGTAATGACTATGTTTGCATGCTGTTCACTGATAGTGGCTGGTTCAGACTTATAACAAGTTACATAAGACAAAGCACAAATTATTTAAATAATTATATAGAGAGTTTATATCGGACTATTTTAAAATATTATATTGTTCAGTAAAACAGTGTTACCCCCTCTTTTACACCACCCATTCTGCACCAAGAAAATGGCTCTGTATGACAGGTGGTCATTCCAGAAGGGACTACATTAGTTATAACTGCAAGTATGTCTACATAGTAAGAAATCCACTTTCAGCTTCAAAGCATTTAATATCTTCGTTAATTATTAAAAGGTGCTTCTTGTCTTAATAATAGACTTATTTTAAGTGAACATACATTAATAGATCTTGATTCTTAAGTGTGAAATTAAAATGGGTAATTTTCCCTTGCACATTACAAAACCATTAAAAAGTGTCATTTAAATCTTGGCACAAACATGATGTTTTAACTGTTACAATGTTGTTAATTTGAGTCTTACCAACATCAGATTTTTGGAAAATACTTTTACTCTCCCCATTGTCATTGAGTCAAATAACTTTTACGTTTTCTTCTAAACTAATAATATTCCATTTACATGATGACTTGTTATAGTTTTGTGATGATTTATTCCTGTGTTGCTAATTGTGCAGTACTGCAATTTTATTATGGAGACAAAACTTTTGCAGAGTGGATGAAACACCTTGCTTTTAAAGAAAAGTGATGCACATACTCTCACAATATTTTCTGGGGTCCTTGCTTGGTACCCTGTTTTGTTAAAGGTTAAAAACTGTGTGTGAATCTACAAAACCTGCATTTTGGCTGTGTTGAACATTTTTGATATTAACAAATTCCTCAGACTACATTTGTTGTAATCATCAAAATAGAAATCGACAGCTGTGTGAAGCCCAAAACTCTATCACAACATATCACAACATTGTTGATTCCATTTCCTGTAAGTATCAGGATTTATAGATAATGCTCTAATATTAACCATAGAGATACTTGTTATAATGTACTTTAGCTGACAATTCTTTCAATACAGAATTTGAAATTGGGAAATGACATTGGAACAGATAATTGAATTAACTTAGTGTATGAATTAAATATTGGTTCTGGATGTAAAATATGGTCACTTGTGAGAAGTAATTTGACATTTTTGGCTTAACCTGCTGGCCACATGCCGTATTAGAGGGGTGGCCACCCACGAGTGTTGGATTTGAACACAAACTTCTTGGTGCAGAGAAAATTGGCCATGTTGAGGAGTTGGACATTGGGTGGGGTTGCATATAAGGGACCACTTTATTGACAGTCTTTGATCAAAGGAATAAAACTAGACCATGAAACTATTTCACCTTCAATAAATGGAGTGCCATGAATGAGTATTTAAAAGTCTTACTCTGACAACAAATTCAGTTTTATTTTGGCAATAAACCCTGTTAGGCCAAATAGACAATGTGGCAACTAAGTGTACCAGACTATTCTTTCCACTCCAGTTCCACAACATGTGTGAAATTTCTTTCTCATGCTTACATTTATCAGTTTATTCAGGTGAGTGATATCAGGTCAACTTGGGCCTTTTTATTACTGGTTGAAATTTAGTATTATGAGTTATGGGTCCTCATTGCTTGCAACTTTACTCACTGTAATACAAGTTACTATTTTGAAATTAACATAGTCATTCGCCTGAATATTGATGATATGATCCCACCAACTAAATGCAAAGGATATCATTTTCTCTGTTTGGTTTGTTTTACATGCATGTATGATGATGTCATTCTCATACATTTTTCAGTGGACAGGTCAATCTGAAGAATGAATGCTTAAGGAGATTGAGAAGAACTTGGACTCTCCTGTATCCTCTGATGATGGAAGAATTAGCACAGAACTATTGGATCTGCGCTTGTGGAGACATTATTTTTTTTACAGATTTTAAGATACTGTCCCAGGGGATTTTTTTTACTTATGGATATTAAAAAAATTAGACCTCATTATATTTGAAAGACGTAAGTTTATTCTGATGCAGAAAATGGACGTCTTGATTCATGACACCCAATATAGTTAGTCTTCTCCTTGGAAGCATGGTGGTCAAATAAAGTCTGATAATGACTTGCATTTGAACAAGAGAATGGCTGTTAGTTGGCCGTATGTTGAAATTATATCTGTATGGCATTTTGTTGTTTGCGCTATTATAGCTTGGGCTTCATCGTGGCATTAAAGTATTTTATAAGGTCATTTGGAATGAGTTAAGCTCACGACAGCATTTGTAGATACACTTAAAACTTTACTGATCTTGTTGCACTTTTGCTGGTGCAAGTGTTGCTTGATGTAGCTCATTGACATATGCAGATGAAATTCTTGATTTACTACTCCAGAACTACCATCACATAATGTGCTGGCAGATCTGGATCTGTGCAGTTTTTTTTAGGAAAAATCAGTGTAATAAACAACTTAGGCCCTAATCTACTGGCACAGTATATGACAGATTAGGGTCTGTTGTAATTTTTTTGTTGTTGGACTCAAGTTAAGTGAGTATATAGGGTAATTATAATGCAAAAAAAATATATTTTTCAAAGATAAGTCCAACCTCAGCTTTTTAGAGTACATTTTCAAAATATTATACCTTCACATATTGAGCAAGATTTATAAATTGATGTGATATTTTAGCTTTATTATGTTACAAAATTCCTGTGCCAATAAGATCTAACATTCTTAATCTCTAATAATTGTATATAAAATCTGGGGTCATTTTATACAGTGAGCATGCACATTGTAGGCCTTAAACATTTGACTAAAATGTATGTCTTGTTT